ATAAGAGAATACTATGAACAGTTATATGCCAACAAATTGGACAACCTAGAAGAAATGGACAAGTTTCTAGAAACATACAGCCTGCCAAAACTGAATCAAGAAGAAGCAGATAACTTGAAGAGACTGATCACTAGAAATGAAGTAGGATCTGTAATTTAAAAAAACTCCATGCAAACAAAAAGTCCAGGACTGGATGGCTTCTCTGGGGGATTATACCAAACATACAAAGAAGAACTTCTACCTATCCTTCTCAAACTACTCCAAAAGATTGAAGAGGGAATGCTTCCAAATTCATTCTATAAAGCCGTCATCACCTTGATACCAAAACCGGACAAAGACACTACAAAAAAAGATTACAGGCCAATATCATTGATGAATATAGATGCAAAAATTCTCAACAAAATATTAGCAAACTGAATCCAACAATATATAAAAAGGATCATACTCCATGGTCAGTTGGATTCGTTCCAGGGTCGCAAGGCTGGTTCAACATATGCAAATCAATCACTGTGATACATACACCACATTAACCAAAGAAAAGAGGAAAACCACATGATCATCTCAATAGACACAGAAAAAGCATTTGATAAAATTCAACATCCGTTCTTGATAAAAACTCTCACTAAAGTGGGTATAGAGGGAACATATCTCAACATAATAAAAGCCATTTACAACAGACCCACAGCCAACATATCAATAGTATTCAGTGGTGAAAAGCCTTCTCACTAACTTCAGGAACCAGACAAGGATGCCACTCCCACCACTTCTATTCAACAAAGTATTGGAAGTCCTAGCCACAGAATTCAGACAAGAAAAAGAAATAAAAGGTATCCAAATTGGAAGGGAAGAGGTAAAATTGTCACTATTTGCAAATGACACGATACTCCATATAAAGAACCATAAAGACTTCACACAAAAACTATCAGAACTAAAAAATAAATTCAGCAAGGTAGCAGGATGCAAGATTAGTATACAGAAAATGTTGCATTTCTTTATACTAACAGTGAAATACCAGAAAGTAAAAAAAAAAAAAAAATTCCATTTAAACTCATGTCCAAAATAAAGTACCTAGGAATAAACTTAACCAAGGAGGTGAAAGACCTATATGCTGACAACTATAAAACATTGATAAAGGAAATTAAAAATGATTCAAAGAAATGGAAAGATATCCCATGCTCTTGGATTACAAGAATTAATATCGTTAACATGACCATACTACCCAAAGCAATCTACAGATTTAATGCATTCCCTATCAAAATACCCATTTCTTGTTACTTCTGAAGATTCCAGCCCTGTTATTTTGTACAGTGTTCTTCAGTTTGGGTTTGTCTGCTCTTTCCTCATGATTAGATTTGGATTATGCATCTTTGGCAGGAGTATCACAGAACTGATGGTGTGTTCTCCTTGCATTCTGTCAGGTGGAGCAAATGATTTGTCATTATTGATGATGCTTACTTTGAGCAGGTGATTATGGTAGTGTCCACGGGCCTCCTCCCTGTGAAGTTAATCTTTTTCCTTTAATGAGCCTTTTGTGAGGAGGAACTTTGAGACTATTAAGTATTGTATTCCTCTTCAAACTTTAAACTTACTCATATGTTGGATTTCTAGTCAGTGGGTTGTAATCTGTTCTTCCCATTTTTTATTTTGAAGCTGGTCCTGGATTTGACCAGTGGGAATTCTCTCAGCAGTGGTTTCTGTGTCCTTTGGCATGTCTCCATCACACTTAGAGCACCTTCTTATTTTCTTCCCCACACCATGTTCCAGGCTCATCTTGCACTTTTCCTGCTCCAGCACTAAAGTCAGCCATTTCTTCAAGGTGTCCTGGTTCCTTTTAGTTGAGAATGCTATTTAGAAGCCAGAATCTGGGTACTAGATTTGCTCATTGCTGCTGGGGGTTGGCTGTCCCTAGGCCCTCTCAGTGGACAGAGTAGGGAATATGTTTATATGCATACATACGTATACATGCACACACATTTACATCTATAGATTGAAACCATGAGTTCATACAGATATCTCCAATTCCATTTCAACACTACAGGTTGCATTTCAGCTTATTCACTTTCCATATTTCTAACTCCCTTTTCTGACAGTGAAAAACCTGGGTTCTATTATCCTTAATGTATTTATTGTCAACCCTTGAACTACATGGGTTTGAACTATGCAGGTCCACTTATATGCAGATTATTTTTCAATAAATATACAGTTGACCCTTCATTTCTATGTGTTCTGCATCTGTGGAAAAGGAGGGCCGATTATGGGACTTAGCATCCTCAGGTATGGGTTCTGAGGTGGGTTCTGGAACCAATCCCCCAAGGATCCCAAGGGACAACTGTACTTATCTGATCAAACTCTCTATGTGTAACCAGTCTTCTATTATCAACACCACCACCACCACCTTGATCATGTGATTGCCTGTCTCATCCCACTTGGGCTGTGACAACCCATACCAGGTCACTCACACACAGACACTTGTCCTTACTCTGCTTGCATTCTGACTCCTGACATAGGACAACCCTTTTATACTGAAACCCTCCTCATGCTGGTTGACCTTTAGTACCCTGCTCTGGGGCTTCATTTTATTAAATCTTGATCCTTGAGGATACATTTTTAGAATATTCTGTATGATGAAATGGGAAGTCTCCATTAAGCTCTTTTGCTGTATACTAAGGTGCAGTGGTTGCCTTGAGGGAAACCACCTGTGCCGATGTTTGAATTGTGAGTTAAACTAGCTGCTTTTTTCATGGAACACAGTTTTGGTTTTGGTTTTGTTTTTTTTTCCCTTGGAAGAATGAGACAAACTATGGTTCTTTAGGCTTGGGTATTTGGAAAACATTTTCTTGTAAATGAGCCTGTCACTTTAAGAACAACTGAAAGTATTTGTTGCCAATGATAAAATTCAAAATTTTAAGTAAAAATTAGAATTGTATGAAGCTTATATCTATTATTTTGAGATTTACAGCTTCCCAATAAATAAAAAAATTTCTGGTGAGGTGATATTATTAACGTGATTTTTTGATATCATGTAATGAAATATGTCAACATTTCAAAGATCTGCATAACTCAGTGAACCACTGTTTTTCAGATAACCAGTACATAGTACAAAATTATGCATGGATAAAAAATCATCCAAAGTGCAATGGATTTTAATGTAATGTAGTATGAAAAGTTCACCGGTATGGTTGCATATTCCACATTGGAACTAATCTTTAAGAAACCACCACGTCTCAATTTTTACTGTAGTATCAAAGAATAACACCCAAAATTACCTGAACAGGTTCATAGACTATTCTGCCATTTTACAATTACACATCTGTGAGAGGCTGGATTTTCTTCATATCCTTCAACCAAAATAGCATTGTTACAGATTGAATGCAAAAGCAGATGTGAGAATCCAGTTGTCGTCTGTTATACCAGATATTAAAGAGATTTGCAGAAGATTAAAACAATAATTCATTAATTTTTTTGTTTGGGAAAATTTAATTATTTAATATTATTTGTTAACATTTAATGATTTATTGTCACTTTAAAATAATAAATCTTTAAATTTCTATTTTAATTTCTAATGTGGTAAATATCAAAAGATATAACCCACATAAACAAAACGTCTTTTGGGTTCTCAGTGCTTTTTTTTTAAACATCTAAAAAGAAGTTAAACCTGTATTCATTTACTAACACTGTTAAGCATAACACTTAACATTCAAGTCCAGGTAATTATAATACAAGCCCAATTCAATTTTTTTTTTTTTCCTGTATGCGGGCCTCTCACTGTTGTGGCCTATCCCGTTGCGGAGCACAGGCTCTGGACGCGCAGGCTTAGTGACCATGGCTCACGGGCCCAGCCGCTCCGCGGCATGTGGGATCCTCCCAGACCGGGGCACGAACCCGTGTCCCCTGCATCGGCAGGCGGACTCTCAACCACTGCGCCACCAGGGAAGCCCCCAATTCAAATTTGTTGACCTATTTGTTGATGCTAAGTTGTACAAAACTGTACTCCTTTTAGTTGACATTTGGTCATCTCAAAGTAGTTGTAATATTAGGTTGGTCAATTTAAATACTGTGGCTTCCTTTTGGATATACACACAGTCTTTACACCCAAATGTAAATGTATACAAAGCAATAAGACATTGTTAAATAAAAGAGCAATAGTTAGTGCAGTTTAATTCATGATTAAAATTACTTCCCACAATCACATCCACAGTACTCATCCACCATTTAATAGCTCAACCAAAATATTATACAATCACCAATAGGCAAAAATACTAGATTTGTATATTTTGTATTTCAAATATACTTATGCATGTGCAAGCAAGGGATTTACCAATATTTAAGAGTATAAGAGATACTGAGACCAAAAAATTTGAGAACTACTTCTCCAGGGTGTGGTTCTTACTTTCAGTATATGGCCTTTGAGAGGCATCAGATAAATGCTTGAGGGTGTTCACTGAGGTCTTTCCATTCAGGTTGGGTTGGCACTCCAGTGTACAACCTCTAGAATCTCTGAGAGTACCCCAGTCACATTGTGGAGAGGCATCTTGTGGATGCATAACGACATTCGGTTACAGATCCAAGGGAGAATCCCTGTATAGATTCCCGGAACTTCTTTGCATGACTTCTTTCTCTGATAAATCTTAAACCACAAATTCCAGTCACCTGAGCAGCCCTGAACTCAGATCCTAATATCCTTTGCCCAGTGACTTGACTAGTGGAAGGGCACATTTTGGTTTAAGAGATCATTTACACAGGAAGATGAGGGACTTGTTAAAGTGATCTTTGTGGAATCCTCCAGAAAACTGTCATATCAGAACATTAATATCACAAGAACTGAAAAATCAAAGCTGAGTTTGTTGTTGGACAGGGGAGAGGCTTGTGCTTAGGAATTCAGTAAGTCTCCTGATTGAGTTCACTTATGGGTATTCTTTTCAATTTGTCTTTATTTCTACTATAAAGGGCTTTTTTCTGGTAAAGGCAATAAAATGTGTGGTTTTCTTGTTTTCTTTCAGAGTTGGAGTCAACATATGAGACCAAAAATACATTTGCAAAAAAGGACATTTTTGAAATAAATTTTCCCCAACAGGAGATAAAGGAAAGAAGTAAAACCCTTGGCTTTGAGGCATTCCTTTTCAAAAATAATTGGAAGTGTAAGAGAAGATTTGAGGGCCTCCAGGGACATCAAGAGGGATACTTCAATCAAATGATAATCAGCTATGAAAAAGTGCCCACTTACAGAAAACATAAATCTCTTACTGCACATCAAAAAATTCATAATCAAGAGAAACCCTACGTTTGTAAGGAATGTGGGAAGGCTTGTAGTCATGGCTCAAAACTTGTTCAACATGAGAGAATTCATATGGCTGAAAAACATTTTGAATGTAAAGAATGTGGGAAAGACTTTTTAAGTGCCTATCAACTCACTGTGCATCAGAGATTTCATACTGGTGAGAAACCTTATGAATGTAAGGAATGTGGGAAGACCTTTAGTTGGGGATCAAGCCTTGTTAAACATGAGAGAATTCATACTGGCGAGAAGCCCTATGAATGTAAAGAATGTGGGAAGGCCTTCAGTCGTGGCTATCACCTTACTCAACATCAGAAAATTCATATTGGTGTGAAATCTTATGAATGTAAAGAATGTGGAAAGGCCTTTTTTTGGGGCTCAAGCCTTGCTAAACATGAGATAATTCATACAGGTGAGAAACCTTATAAATGTAAAGAATGTGGGAAGGCCTTCAGTCGTGGCTATCAACTTACTCAGCATCATAAAATCCACACTGGTAAGAAACCTTATGTATGTAAAATATGTGGAAAGGCTTTTTGTTGGGGCTATCAACTTACTCGACATCAGATATTTCATACTGGCAAGAAACCCTATGAATGTAAGGAATGTGGGAAGTCTTTTAATTGTGGCTCAAGTCTGGTTCAACATGAGAGAATCCATACTGGTGAGAAACCCTATGAATGTAAAGAATGTGGAAAGGCCTTTAGTCGAGGCTATCACCTTACTCAACATCAGAAAATCCATACTGGTGAGAAACCCTTTGAATGTAAAGATTGTGGGAGGGCCTTTAGTTGGGGTTCAAGCCTTGTTAAACATGAGAGAATCCATACTGGTGAGAAATCCTATGAATGTAAAGAATGTGGAAAGGCCTTTGGTAGTGGCTATCAACTTACTCGACATCAGATATTTCATACTGGCAAGAAACCCTATGAATGTAAGGAATGTGGGAAGACTTTTAATTGTGGCTCAAGTCTGGTTCAACATGAGAGAATCCATACTGGTGAGAAACCCTATGAATGTAAAGAATGTGGAAAGGCCTTTAGTCGTGGCTATCACCTTACTCAACATCAGAAAATCCATACTGGTGAGAAACCTTTTAAATGTAAGGAATGTGGGAAGGCCTTTAGTTGGGGTTCAAGCCTTGTTAAACATGAGCGGGTTCATACTGGTGAGAAATCCTATGAATGTAAAGACTGTGGGAAGGCCTTTGGTAGTGGCTATCAACTTCATGTTCATCAGAGATTTCATACTGGCAAGAAACCTTATCAATGTAAGGAATTTGGAAAAACATTTACTTGTGGCTCAAGCTATGTTCAACATGAAAGAACTAATAATAATGATAAACCCTACAAATATAAAGAATGTGGGGAAGTCTTTATATGGACAGCTTACTCAAATAAGACAGTTGATACTGGTGAAACTTTATGATTGAAGAGATGTGAAAGAACATATTTTTGTGTGTGTACAGACAACTTACTTAACATGAGGAGAAGTCTTACTCTTGAGAAACCTTATTAATGTAGGGAATGTGCAAAAGCCTTACCAGTGTATGGACAATTCACTTGATACCAGAAAATTCATACTAGTGAGAAATATTTTGAACATGAGGAATATGAAAAGTCCTTTAGACTTCTGTATGATCTTATTGAACATCTATACTGATGTGAAGCCATTTAAATGTAGGGAATGTGTAAAGATCTTTAATTCATGGTGCAATGTCTCATAAACATTGGGAAAATTATGCTCATTACTCTTTAAGGGAAGGATCTAAATTTAATTTGGTTCTTGCCCTGCATATCAGAGAATTCATACTGCTGTGAAATCCTGTGAATTTAAGGAATGTGGGAAGACTTGTAGACATGGTAAACATCTTAGAATACATCAGGGAATTCATCCAAATGAGAAATCCTTTGAATTAAAATTGTAGGAAGGCTTTTAGACAAGTGCTACTCAAACTATTGGCCAGAGACTTTTTGCCAGTCCACAGAATTGTTACCTGTCAATCATGAGATAAATGCAGAAAGTGAGAGTGTCTGGAAACTTTTATAGCAATTTGATATTGCCATAACATCATTATATTTTACAAAAGTATCAGTCGATGAATGATTGGAAATTAAAAACAAAAAGTTTGTCCTTTCCTAGATAATTTGAGAGACAGCATTCACACTTTTTAAAACATGAGACAAGTCGCAATGTGACTTAATTAGAACAAGAAATCCCTCCCTTGTTACCTCCCTGGTTAAAGTAGCAGAATATTCATTCCATAGGAAGATTTGGCTAATGTGGGAATCACAATTTCCTTCTGCGCATAAAAGCATAGAGAATTTATACCAGATATGTTGATTTAGTGAATGTATAGAAGCTTTCCAACACTATTCAGTCTTTGTTAAACTTCAGCAAACTCTTCCTAGAGAATAACCCTGTTAATATCACACATGTAGGAAACACCTTATCTATGGCAGAAGCCATACTTTTTTTAATTTTTCAGTACACGGGCCTCTCACTGTCGCGCCCCCACCCCCACCCCGTCGCAGAGCACAGGCTCCGGATGCGCAGGCTCAGCGGCCATGGTTCACGGACCTAGCCGCTCCGCGGCATGTGGGATCTTCCTGGACCGGGGCATGAACCCGTGTCCCCTGCATCGGCAGGCGGACTCTCAACCACTGCGCCACCAGGGAAGCCCAACCATGCTTATTTTTATCACCATTCTACCTCCTTATTACTTGTGGGATGTTGGGCAAACTGCTTATCCCCTCTGGGCATCATGTTTAAAATGCTCGTGATGGTAGCTCTGTAACAGTGCTGTTGTAGAGATTGGATGGATGTAGTATGGGTCAAATCCTTGGAAGAGTATCTAGTATGTAGCCTGTGCTCAATACATACTATTCTTATTATCATCATCATAAATATTATTACTGGCGAAGTCTTAGGAGAGGAATGCCCATTTCATATAATTAATTAAGAAAAGTACCCATAACCACTCATCCATTTGAATTTCAGATAGTGCATTCTGGATAAAAGACCTAGTAAAATGTAAAGAATTTGAGAGAATTTTTACTCATAATTTATCCCTTAAGCTGCATCAAAAATTAAGACTAAAAAGAAACATTTTGGATTTAGTAAGTGTTAAGATGTTGGGATTATACCTGGAGAAGAATCAGAGAGAAATGTGAAGCAGTTTGCTGTAATGAATCCCAACAGATAAGTAGTAATTAAAATTCTCCACTCACTTTTTGAGGTAAATTAGAAATTAAAGAGAACAAAAAGAAAACTGTCCATTTTGGAATTCTTTACCAAAAGTTTATTATGATCATTTTTTAGACATTCAGAAAAATGTAAAGGACAGTATAATGAACATCCATCTACTCTCTACATGGAATCAAGAATTCTAAACATTTGGCCATTTTTGCTTTCTGAATATATATTCACGCATGGCATTTGGTTGTCATGTCTCTAGATTTTAGTCTTGAACAGACTTTTTGAAGATTTCAGGAAAGCTATTTTATAGAATGCCATACATTCTAGATTTTGTTTGTTCTCTCATAGTGAAATTTAATTTGTACCTCTATCCTTCATATCTCTCATAAAATCAAGTTAGAGTTACAGGATTAAACATTTTCCACCAGAACAGTTCATAGGAGGTGACATGTAATTTTATTGAAAGACATCATAAGCAATTAATATCCATTTTCCCCACTATCACCAATGCTACGTTTGATCATTAAGATGGTGATTGCTGGACTTCCCCAGTGGCGCAGTGGTTAAGAATCTGTCTGCTAATGCAGGGGACATGGGTTCGATCCCTGGTCCAGGAAGATCCCACATGCCACAGAGCAACTAAGCCCATGCGCCACAACTACTGAGCCTGCGCTCTAGAGCCCGCAAGCCACAACTACTGAGTCCATGCGCTGCAACTACTGAAGTCCATGTGCCTAGAGCCCATGCTTCGCAACATGAGAAGCCATCGCAATGAGAAGCCTGCACACTGCAATGAAGAGTAGCCCTTGTTCCCTGCAACTAAAGAAAGCCCGCATGCAGCAACGAAGACCCAACGCAGCCAAAAATAAAATAAAATAAATAATAATTTTTTAAAAAAAGATGGTGACTGCTAGAGTTCTCCATTATAAAGATCCATTATACAACTAGTAGGATTAGTGAACCTTGGTCAGCTACTTTTGGGAATGTATAATCATATGTATGTATAAGTTCTGAATCAAAGAGAAAATTGAAACAATTAGAGTTTTTGCAGAAAACAATGATAATGAAATGATTGTATATTGGAGCTTGTAGGATGTCCCTGAAGCTCTACTCAGTGGAAAAGTAATACCATTGTTAATATGTCTTGGAGGAACCAAGATGCATCTGGCCCAGATGGAGGGCCAGAACTATACCTTGTTTCCCCCAGTATCTACATGGTTCCTGTCACACTGAACTAAGAAGCTAGAAAAATAACAAATCCTAAACCAAAATACAGAAGCAATCAATATAGCTAAAATTTGAGATTAATGATTAGGAATTAAAGCAGTAGTCCTTGATCATTATTCCTCTGTGAAAAATCCACTAACCTCAACTAGACTTTGATAAATCTGAACAAGGAAAAATCAAGAAAATTGGCAACATTGTAGAATCATGAATAAGAAAGGAGATATAATTATAGATATGGAGGTTTTTTTTAATTTAAGGCAGTACAATATATTTAAACCTATTTGGACGAATAAACAAAGGAAAAGGCTGAAAAAATTGGTCCAGGATCTCCCTTTTAGAAAAAAACACTTGGAAATTGTCATCTCCTTAGGTAAAAATTTCAAGATGAAAATAGCTAAAAATTTTACTAACTCATCTTACCTGGACAACATAAATCCAGTAACAAAACTAAATGGAGATACCCTCTAAAAAGCAAAAGCTAGATTAACTGAATTTAGGTAAATGTAAAAATTCTAATTAAAATATCAGCAAGCAGGGCTTCCCTGGTGGCGCGGTGGTTGAGAGTCCGCCTATCGATGCAAGGGATATGGGTTCGTGCCCCGGTCCGGGAGGATCCCACATGCTGCGGAGCGCCTGGGCCCGTGAGCCGTGGCCGCTGAGCCTGCGCGTCCGGAGCCTGTGCTCCGCAACGGGAGAGGCCACAGCAGTGAGAGCCCCGCGTACCGAAAAAAATAAAAAATAAAAAAAAAATAAAATATCAGCAAGCAGAATCCACATGTAAGATGTAAGATTGTGCAATAGAAAATATATGGGATATCCAGACCCAAAAGTTTCTGGTTTAAATGGAAATATAAGCTAACTGACAAAAAATGGAATCAGCACAACTGTAATTCATTCTGATAGTTTCTTAGACCTGTATGACTCTTAGAGCAGGAAATCACACACAGCGACTTAATTCTAAGATGAATTTTAATATTTAGAAATCAGAAGGCATCTCAAAGTTGGTGGCTTCTCACATTCACTTTCATCTGGGTGGCTGTCATGATTAGGTGCTAGCATCAAAGCATATTAGTTATGATGAAATAGAAGTGTGTTTATATACTCACAGAATTCAACCCTTTAAAAATTACTTATTTCCAAATATCAGTTACATCAAAACTGCATTGAGAAATGTCTGTGGTTCATCTTGGTCATTGTTTTAATCTGCACCCTACCTCTATGTCCATTTTGTGCAGGTAGGCCATCCGCGATATCACTGTACAGTCGTTTACTGGCTAGTGGTTGACAGCATTATTCCACATAATTGCAATTTTAATCATCCAATGTAACACAAAGGAGAATACTTCTGAGTGTTTTAATAGAGTAAAGCATTACCAGTCAGTATTTTACTCCTCCTGGGTGCCACAGTTGCATGTTAACTAGGAGATGTGGAGATTGTGCCTCGTCCCACCAAGCATTTCTGAAATTGTCTCAAAGATCACCAGTACTTAAAAATACTTGAAAAACAAGGGGAATTCTCTGGTTAAAGAAGCTTATGAAGCAGCATCTTCTAAATCCCCCTTAGGGAATGACCAAAAGCACCTTATCAGTTTATCAAAAGACAAGTGAAGAAAATTGTTCAACTTTGTTTAAATTGGTATATCTCAAACTGTACTATGGAAATACCAATTCTCACGACTTATTAACATCTTAGGGATGTGAAACTGCATTGGGAAATGCTGCCATAACTAAAAGAGAGTTTGTAAAGTTGGAAATTTCAGTCACCAAGTTTGATTGTTAGCTGACAGGATGACAGCATCATGCTCTCAAACAGTTAGTTGCCTTCTAACGTTTTCTCTTAATTTGTGAGTAAAAATCCTTTTGTACCTAAGTAGGCATGGCTCCTGAGTTTTATCAAATGCCATTTCATTATCCCTTTCTGCAGTGGTGTAGTATTTAATATGTTAATGTGATAATTTATACTGACAGACCTTTTGACTTCTTCCCATCCCTGGATATACCCAGGTTAGCCACTGATGTGTGTATGTGTGCGCGCGCGTGTCTCTTTTATATGCACTGCTTGATCTCATTTGCTACTATTTTATTTAGAATTTTTACATCTCATGAGTGAGACTGATAATTGTCTTTTAAAATGTATTTTTGTATGTTTTGTATTGTGATTACCTGTTCTTTAAAATTGCGGGACTGTATTGGCTTGTTTTGTTTTGAATTGGAAACCCTTAATCGCTCTTCTAGTTTCATCTGTTGATTTGCTTGTTTTCAAATTTCTACTTAGGACACAACAATTTCTCTGAGTGCCCAGCACAGTTCCTCTAAAGAACCTTCATAGCCGAGATCCACATAAAAGCATCATTCCAACACTGCCTCTCATTGAAAATCCTTCATTATATGTTCTTGGGTATGCTGTGTTGGGAAGTCAGAGCTCCTTATAGGACTGTTATGACCAAACTTGTCCATGTCTTTCAGAGCATACATGTACACATTTCTTTCTCTATATACTGGAAGTGAAATTGCTTCGGTTTGGTTATGAGTATGCCTGTGTTCAGCTTTAGTAAGTTTAGTTCTCCTAAATAGATTTCCAAACAGATATACCAACTGGCACTCCCACCAGCAGTGTGTGTTTGTATCCTTGACAATACTTGGCATCGTCAGTTTAAGATATATATATATTTTCTGCTACTCTGGTAGGTATATAGTGGCATCTGATTGTGACGATTGTGGTTCACATTTCCAATTTTCTTATTGTTTATTGGCTATTTGAATATTTTTGCAATATCTCTCCTTGCTCATACATCATTGGATGCATTAGGTTTGTCTAGTTTCACAAAGTATCTGTACAATTTGTAGGACAGCATTTAACACCTAGGCCATTCTGTGTGTGTGTTCATCCCCCACCAGACAGCTGGTTGATGGCTGTGATGGAATCAGCTTTGTCTCTGCATCTCCAGCTCCCAGTATGAACCATG